CCAGCCCTCCTAGTCCGCCTCCAGGGCAACGTTTCTGGCCGGGCCTCGGAGCTCCCAATCCGCCCCGCCCCACACGTTCTCACTGCTCACTACACGCCATTGCTTTCAAACCATCAGACTCTCATACGCAACACTCAACCATTAGCAAAAATATAGCTTACGCACCTCAACCTTAAATCTATTTGTTTTTCTCTACATGGTTGAATTGTAAATAAAGGCCCAACAAAGCAGGGTTGGTAATATTAAATGAAATATGAAAATTAAAACGTTTCGCACCCGAGTAACAGAAATCATATTTGCATCGGCAAACCAATTACAGTTTTGATTTGACGTTATATTGTGAAAATAACTATCACATCCCCGTAACAAGGTGAAGGAGAGCTCAACAACTGCTAAATTACCGATAATTCGAATGTTGTCTGTATAGATCATGAACTGTTCGTCAGCCATGAATGATCAGAGCTGCGTAATAGAAAGCTTCATATGAATGCTCTCGTAGGGAAAAAAGAATTCGGCATAATATTGGAGAAAAATCGTACGTATAAATATATCTTACCATGGAATATCTTTCTTGTGAAAGTCGACATGATATCTTACAATGCTACATACGTTTACCCTTTTTTCTAATGAACACAAATAGAAACTAAATTCTTGCAGGGAATATAAAAGTTTATGAAGAATAAACTCGAAAAGTGTACCGCATGGTTTTCTTAGACCTTTCTCGATAACTACTCATGGTTGCCCTTTTGACCTGTATGCGCTACTCGTAGGGTATTCTATGCTGTAACTTTGTATCAATGTTTGATTTGTCACTGTCGTCAAAATACGTTGTAGGTGACAAATTTGTTTTCAGTTCTAAATGTGTAGTCGCATCATTGAGGTTTTTTGCTCAGGAAAATTTGTTTAAACAAGCACATTCGGCATAAAAACACAACTCGTATGTATTTTCTACTGTGTAGTCTACATCTTTACGGATAACGTTTGTACTTTTAATTTACTAGCGCTTGTGTGTAATGAAATTTTCACGAGAGAAAAATACACATGACGCGCATCTTTTCACCCTCACATTATCGTTGTTGAAGTGTCCATATAATTTTTGTGACTGCCATTTTTATACGCTTTGACATTTATTTTCCGTACAGTCCATGCATTAGCCAGCGCTCAGGAACTTGGGATATTTGCGTCGTGTGTTGTCGAATGCTAGCACGTCTCCGCCGGTGCTTTGCAAAGCGAAGCACCGGGGCGAAGGCTCGGACGTCTGATCAGATCGGTTCCTGCGCATCGCCTCAACACAAGAAAACGGTGCTGCACGCAGTTTGCGTAAATGGAGAACAAAATTGGAATTGTTGACATTCCACTCTTTAGCTTTTTTCGTACTTCAACTTCCATGAGAATGTCTGGTATGTTAACGCTATCATTGGCACCAACCTGTTGGACCCATTGCCCCGTTCGCGCCCAACAAAACTTGGCGGTGGCTTTCCTCCCTAAACTGGACAATAACTCTTAAATTTAAAAAAAATTGCATATCATGAATATCATTCTGAGCTTTCTTTATAAATAAGCTCTGGAAGTTACTGAGACAAAAAATTAGCTCGGCCTGCAACGTGCGCTAGGGCGCTGGGCGCTGCTTCTATTGTTCATGTTGCCGCTGAGATCTGTTCGAGTACGCACGCAAAAGTCTGCCAAAGATTTTTGGATTTTGTTTCACCCCAGAGAAATCGTGGCCATGGCTAAAATTCGGAAGGGCGCTCAGAATTGCGAGTGCTTGTAGAGCTTAGCGCGTGCTAGAACCGCATGCTGTAAATTTTATAATGGATAAATTTCCTGGCCAAACCGTCAATTGGCTGTGGAAAAAGGCACAGCAAGATTGTAAGGATGATGCCAGGGACTCTCCTTGTCATTTTAATGTCATACAATATCATTAAAACAAAATGACTGACTACAACAAGAATTGCACATACGTTCAATGCCAAATGAAGTCTTGCTTTATTGTTACGAGAGAAACATGTTTTAAGAAAAAAGAAAAGTAACTGGAAACGAAACATAAGCAATACTGGTATAGGCTCAGGACTTAATTGGGCCCCCCAAT